AGAAAGCAAAACCCAAAAAAAAATTAGGCCCCCCCAAAAGGGGGGGGTGAGAAAAGGAAGGGGAAAAAACCCCAAAGGGGAAGGGAGACCCCAAAGGGGAAAGGAAAAAAAAAAGGGAAGGGGGGAAAACAAAGGGAAAATGGGAAAGGGAAAGGGAGGGGGAAAAAAGGGGTTGGGGAAAAAAACCCCCAAAGAAAAGGGAAAAAAAAAGGGGGGAAAAAAACTGAAGGGAAGGAAAAGGAAAAAGGGAGGAAAGGAAAAGGAAAGGGGGGAGAAAAAGGGGGGAAAGAAGGAAAAGGGGGAAAAATTTTAAAAATTATTAAAATTTCCCTTTGGTTTTTTTAAAAAAAATTTTTTCTTTTGGGGTTTAAAATTTCAATGTTCTTTATTTTTTTGTAATAATGTAAAATTAAAATATTAAAAATGGAACAGGTTAAAAAAAACAAAAAATTGACCCCTTTCCCCTTTGTTTTTTCTTATCCAAAATATTGGTTAATGATGGTCAAATTAAATTTTTTCCCCAAAAAATTTTGTGGTAAGGAAAAAGGGGGGAGGAAAAGAAAAAAGGGGGCCAACAAGGGGCTCCTTTCCCCCTCCCAAAAATTTTTAAAAAAAATCCTTCTTTAACTTTTTCAGTTTTCAAAGAGGGGCAAAATTCACCAAATTTTTGGGGAATTTTGAAGGACCCAAAATTTAAAAGGTTAAAACTTTTGTTCGCAAATTCTAATTGAGTGTATGTAAACTTCTGACCCACTGGGAATGTGATGAAAGAAATCAAAGCTTAAATAAATCCTTCTCTCTACTATTATTCTGACATTTCACATTCTTAAAATAAAGTGGTGATCCTAACTGACCTAAGACAGGGAATTTTTACTAGGATTAAATGTCAGGAATTGTGAAAATCTGAGTTTAAATGTATTTGGCTAAGGTGTATGTAAACTTCTGACTTCAACTGTACATACTGTATTACCTCGATTACCTCGTACCCCTGCACATCAACTCAGCACTGGTACTTCCTGTATATAACCATGTTATTACCTCGTACCCCTGCACATCAACTCTGCACTGGTACACACACACACATATATAAACACACATATACATATACAGTACCAGTCAGCAGTTTGGACACACCTACTCATTCAAGGGTTTTTCTTTATTTTTTACTATTTTCTACATTGTAGAATAATAGTGAAGACATCAACACTATGAAATAACACATATGGAATCATGTAGTAACCAAAGAAATGGGCTTAGTGGGACTATCATTTGTTTTTCAACAGGACAATGACCCAACACACCTCCAGGCTGTGTAAGGGCTATATTACCAAGAAGGAGAGTGATGGAGTGCTGCATCAGATGACCTGGCCTCCACAATCACTCGACCTCAACCCAATTGAGATGGTTTGGGATGAGTCGGACGGCAGAGTGAAGGAAAAGCAGCCAACAAGTGCTCAGCATATATGGGAACTCCTTCAAAACGGTTGGAAAAGCATTCCTCATGAAGCTGGTTGAGAGAATGCCAAGAGTGTGCAAAGCTGTCATCAAGGCAAAAGGTGTCTATTTGAAGAATCTCAAATATAAAATATATTTTGATTTGTTTAACACTTTTTTGGTTACTGCATGATTCCATATGTGTTATTACATAGCTTTGATGTCTTCACTATTATTCTACAATGTAGAAAATAGTAAAAAATAAAGAAAAACCCTTGAATGAGTAGGTGTGTCCAAACTTTTGACTGGTAGTGTATAAATATTCATCATTGTCTTAGACCACCAGCTCCATTAAAACTAGTCAAACTAGACAGTAAAACTAGTCAGTAAACATGCATAAATGTCTTTAGGTCTCATTTTTCCACCTTTACTGCAATATATGTTTTATTTGATCGTTCAATACCCCGCCCAGCTGGTGGGGGTAATGCACCATTAACATTGCATGCCAACCGCTGTTAAATCCCATCGAAGAAGAAGAACGAACACCACAGAAGAAGAAGAAGCTTCTGACGTCAAATATGTGCGACCCAACGTGTTAGCTGAAGGACAAGCAGAATCGAGTGGAGTGGTCGCACGAAATAACTTCAGGTGGCTATGTAGCTCATTAAATTCACGACTTTCAGCAATGAATGCCCAAATTAATACTGTATTTACATTGACGCTACGGGCTACGTCGTTAGCTACGAGATTCACACAGTAGGCAGCGTTAGCTAGCTAACGTTATCACAAGCAGACAGAACAATTGGTCCGTTATTAGCTAGTTACGATAACTTATCAAATTAGCTAGACATAGCTTGATACATTATATTGTATAAACATGCTATTCACGTTTAAGAGTTGAAGATGTATACTGTAGGTTACTGCTCAGAACGTCGTATCAGTTCGCTAGCTAGCTAACTAGCCGAGTCTAAATTTATAGCTAGTAATTTACAGCAGGGTTTCCCAAACTCGGTCCTAGCCCGGTGTTGTCTAGCCCATAAGAAGCTTGTTGCTGCTCTGTCATTCAACTTGGTTATTTGACTGACACCTGATTAGGTCATTCAACCTAGTAACATGACTGATCTTGTTGTAGGTAGTTAACATATTAATTCAACCTAATAAAGTGACAGGTTGTTGTAGTTACAGGGCTGGATTAGGGCACCAGATTGAGGCGGTATTTTCTGAGCTAAACTGACCAAGACGCACCTCTAACTAGGGGTGGGCGATATATCAAATTAATTTGAATTGTTTTTGCGCGTCATTCAAAATGCCAGTATTGCAGAATCAAGTTTTTATGAGCGTTTATGTCCACTTGTTCTAATGTTGACTTTTTGGTCACATCTCGTTCGCTCCTTCTGTGCTGTGCACCTTCCCATTTACACCAGAGATCTGTATATAATGATGAGATGATCATGTTTACGCCCTAACAATGGGAGTTGTCCCAAAGGCGGGAATACAGCCGACAAGTTTAGGTTCAAAATAAGAGCATAGAAACGCATTGGGTTTATTTTGGACAGATTTTGGCGAGAGTGAAACCTTTTGCTTTGCCTCTTTCTCCCAAGCCCCTCCCCCTCACAACAACAAAGATGAGAGCTCACTTCTTCCTCTCTGACAAATGGTTTCAACTCGCTATTTGAGGTTTGGTCCAACAGAATCGGTAAAATGGACACCGAAACACATGGAGACATTATTTTGCTGTAATAGAGGAGGAGTTAACCTTTCGAACCATACCCTGTTTATGTTTCAACTCCTCAGATTTCGAGCAGAGCAGACACTACTAAAACGGATGTACCAATTTTCTGGAAAATTAATGCTCAGTTGGTCGCGCCCGCATTACGGTATCGCTAGCAGCATTTTTGTCAAATAAAGATTGTTATACTAGCTGTTTAGTCTGTTTTTATAAATGTGCAATAAGCAGAAAACTATTATATAAGGAATTGGCAACTCGTTCTCATTCTGAGAAATAAGGTAGGCCACTTCATTTCAACATCTGATCAAAGTGGACAGGCTAACATGCGGTTCAATAGTTGGAGACGGACAGAAGGTTGTGTTCATAACAATTCAACCGTTTTTCCTTGTTAGCTGTATTCAGAGCTTGTGAAATTATACCTAGATCCAAGTTGGCTAAATTTGAAACATAAATATTAGCTGGCTTCTCACTAGCGCTTGTGTTTGTGCTTGAGAGATTGTTTATGAGACCGGTGTTAATTTTCTATAATGCCTGCTACATTATTAGTGAATGTGCATTATGCATGGTTCTGGTTAGAAATTTTTATTTGTATTTTTTGTCATTTTAGCAGACACTCTTATCCAGAGAGACTTACAGTTAGTGAGTGCATACATTTTCATACTGGCCCCCCGTGGGAGACGAACCCACAACCCTGGCGTTGCAAGCGCCATGCTCTACCAATTGAGCTACAGGGTTACAAAAACGTTATTGCAAAAAAAGCAGGTACAACTATTTTGATAAAATAATTACATTATTAGTGGGTATTATGGTTGTGGAAGGCATATATTCAGCCTAGGTATAATTTCACAAACTCTGAATTCATTAGATTATTGCTGACTGTTTGAAATGCAGTGTATTTGACCTTTTAATTGTACAACAAAGCTTATTTAGAAAACATTTAAAAAATCGAGATGTATATTGTCAATCGCCCATGAGTTTGAAAAAATTGAGATATGAGTTTCAGTCCGTATCGCCCAGCCCTAGCTCCAACACATAATTCTGCCCCAAAACAATGAAAACTTCTCTGACCCAGTGGCATATGGGCTATTTACGTGAGCACTGATGCCGCCCATGATAAGCAGTGCCTACCCATGATAAGCAGTGCCTACTTTGCCAAAATATTTATGTTGTTATTGCGCTGTTTCCTCCCGCATGCTGTTGGAAGACCAAATAAGCTAAAGTAATATGAAGATTGGGACACACGTGATGCTTCATAATAATCATAGATGGATTTAATGTGAGCGTTTCTAGCATTAACACAAATGACTAACATGAACACGTTCATTGAACATTTGGCAATGTGAAACCAACCAGACCAAATGGGGAAAAAAGGCAATATAACAAATAATCAAACTCTGATTCGAACAGTGTGTGTACTGGGGGACTGTATAGCTCAGAACTGAGTGAAAACGCCTGTAGCATGTTAACAAACACCATCTCCTGAAAACAGAAGTCAAAATATAGTTGACATTATTTAATGAACTTACTCACGACTGCTGTGTGGGAGTGTCCATCCATCTCTGTGGGCTATATGTTAATGAGTCAGGACTATGGGTTAATAAAGACTGACTGCCTGGTTTACAAACGGAACCACGTGGATGGGTATTCATGAAATTGCATTGCGGGCTGACAATAGGCTACACTAGTCTAGATTTGTGTGGCAGGATGTTTTATTTTTTGGTCTCGCCTAGGGAGGCAGAACGGTCAGGACCGGGCCAGTGTAGCTAGCTAACATTATTAATTCATTCAACCCGGTCTAGGATTCAACCTAATGATGTGAATGTTATTCATCCATCAGGGTTTCCTCTGGACATTGTCGTCATGGCGGTATCATCACTATCGCGGGCTCTGCGCTCGCTGTCCTTCTCCCGGCCGGCTCTATTACCTACCCAGGTAGGCTCTAGTCAAACGGATATCGGTTATAGATATGTACTGTTTGCGCTATATATGATATGTGTTGACCAGCTGACTCCTATGAATGTTTAGACAGTAGGACAGCGCATAGTCAGGCAGGACTCAGGCCAGATATATATATATATATATATATATATATATATATATTACATACATACATACATACATACATACATACAGCTGCGGAAAGAATTAAGAGACCACTGCAAAATTATCAGTTTCTCTGGTTTGACTATTTATAGGTATGTGTTTGGGTAAAAAAAAACATTTTTATTTTATAAACTACTGACAACATTTCTCCCAAATTCCAAATAAAAATATTGTCATTTAGAGCATTTATTTGCAGAAAATGACAACTGGTCAAAATAACAAAAAATATGCAGTGTTGTCAGACCTCGAATAATGCAAAGAAAATAAGTTAATGTTCATTTTTAAACAACACAATAGCAATGTTTTAACTTAGGAAGACTTCAGAAATCAATATTTGTTGGAATAACCCTGATTTTCAATCACAGCTTTCATGCGTCTTGGCATGCTCTCCCCCAGTCTTTCACATTGATGTTGGGTGACTTTATGCCACTCCTTGCGCAAAAATTCAAGCAGCTCGGCTTTGTTTGATGGCTTGTCACCATCCATCTTACTCTTGATCACATTCCAGAAGTTTTCAATGGGGTTCAGGTCTGGAGATTGGGCTGGCCATGACATGGTCTTGATCTGGTGGTCCTCCATCCATACCTTGATTGACCTGGCTGTGTGGCATGGCACATTGTCCTACTGGAAAAACCAATCCTCCGAGTTGGGGAATAATGTCCGAGCAAAAGAAAGCAAGTTTTCTTCCAGGACAACCTTGTACGTGGCTTGATTCATGCGTCCTTCACAAAGACAAATCTGCCCGATTCTAGCCTTGCTGAAGCACCCCCAGATCATCACCGATCCTCCACCAAATTTCACAGTGGGTGCGAGACACTGGCTTGTAGGCCTCTCCAGGTCTCCGTCTAACCATTAGACGACCAGGTGTTGGGCAAAGCTGAAAATTGGACTCATCAGAGAAGATGACTTTACTCCAGTCCTCTACGGTCCAATCCTTATGGTCTTTTGCAAACCTCAGCCTGGCTCTTCTTTGCTTCTCATTGATGAAGGGCTTTTTTCTAGCTTTGCACGACTTCAGCCCTGCTTCTAGGAGCCTGTTTCGAACCGTCCTCGCCGTGCACTTCATCCCAGCTGCCGTTTGCCATTCTTTTTGTAGGTCACTTGATGTCATCCTACGGTTGTTGAGTGACATTCGAATGAGTTGGCGGTCATCCCGGTCCGTAGAGAGTCGTTTTCGCCCTCTGCCGGTCTGTAGCTTTGTTGTCCCCAATGTCTGCTGCTTGACCTTGTTCTTATGAACCACCGTCTTTGAAATTTTAAGGATGGAAGCAACCTGACGCTCACTGTATCCCTCTGCCAGTAAAGCCAGAATTGAACCTTTATTTTCCTCACTCAAAACGTTCCTTTTCAACTCTTTTGGCATGGTCAATAGTTATTTTTTGAGTAATATTACTTTTGAGGTACTATTAGCACTGTTTTTGCCATCCAGCTGGTCCTATTGCAAGAGGATAGTGATGACCACAGCAGTGGTTTTTATACTTTTCCTCGTTAAATAAGATTTGGTTCATGTGATCACCTAATCAGTACCTAATTCAGTAGAATGAGGTGTGCCTGTGTTGGAATTCAACAGACACTGGAATGGAATGGGTGTCATACATGTAGAGATGCTGATTTAAGAGATGTGCAGTGGTCTCTTCATTTTTCCACAGCTGTATATAAGTCAGTGTATTCAGACCCCTTGGCTTTTTCCACATTTTGTTACGTTACAGCCTTATTCTAAAATTGATTCAATTGTTTTTCCCCTTCATCAATCTACACACAATACCCCAAAATGAAAAAGCAAAAACTGATTTTTAGAAATTTTTGCAAATATATTACAAATAAAAAACAGATCACATTTACGTAAGTATTCAGACCCTTTACTCCGTACTTTGTTGACGCACCTTTGGCAGCGATTACAGCCTTGAGTCTTCTTGGGTATGACGCTACAAGCTTGGCACACCTGTATATGGGGAGTTTCTCCCATTCTTCTCTGCAGATCCTCTCAAGCTCTGTCAGGTTGGATGGGGAGCGTTGCTGCACAGCTATTTTCAGGTCTCTCCAGAGATGTTCGATCGGGTTCCAGTCCGGGCTCTGGCTGGGCCACTCAAGGACATTCAGAGACTTGTCCTGAAGCCACTCCTGCATTGTCTTGGCAGTGTGGTTAGGTTCATTGCCACCACCATGCTTCACCGTAGGGATGGTGCCAGTTTTCCTCCAGACGTGACGCTTGGCATTCAGGCCAAAGAGTTCAATCTTGGTTTCATCAGACCAGAGAATCTTGTTTCTCATAGTCTGAGAGTCCTTTAGGTGCCTTTTGGCAAACTCCAAGCGGGCTGTCATGTGCCTTTTACTGAGGAGTGGCTTCCGTCTGGCCACTTTACCATAAAGGCCTGATTGTCCTTCTGGAAGGTTCTCCCATCTCCACAGAGGAACTCTGGAGCTCTGTCAGATTGATCGTTAGGTTCTTGGTCACCTCCCTGACCAAGGCCCTTCTCCCCCGATTGCTCAGTTTGGCCGGGCGGCCTGCTCTAGGAAGAGTATTGGTGGTTCCAAACTTTTTCCATTTAAGAATGATGGAGGCCACTGTGTTCTTGGGGACCTTCAATGCTTTAGACATTTTTTGGTACCCTTCCCCAGATCTGTGCCTCAACACAATCCTGTCTCAGAGCTCAACGGACAATTCCTTCGACCTCATGGCTTGGTTTTTGCTCTGACATGCACTGTCAACTGTGGGACCTTATATAGACAGGTGTGTGCCTTTCCAAATCATGTCCAATCAATTGCATTTTCCAAAGGTGGACTCAAATCAAGTTGTAGAAACATCTCAAGGACGATCAATGGAAACAGGATGCACCTGAGCTCAATTTCAAGTCTCATAGCAAAGGGTCTGAATACTTATGTAAATAAGTTATTTCTGTTTTCTAAAAACCTGTTTTTCGCGTTGTCATTATGGGGTATTGTGTGTAGACTGATGAGGAAAAGCATTTGATCCATTTTAGAAAAAGGCTGTAACGTAACAAAATGTTGAAAAAGTCAAGGGGTCTGAATACTTTCTGAATGGACTGTGTGTGTCTGTGTTATGTTCATAGACATTAGGACAGACTGTCTGTGTTATGTTCATAGACAGTAGGACAGACTGTGCTCCGGGCCCAGACCAGCTCCATGTTGTCTCCCCCTCTAACCTGCTCTGGGTGGAGAGGCACTGTGCTCCGGGCCCAGACCAGCTCCATGTTGTCTCCCCCTCTAACCTGCTCTGGGTGGAGAGGCTTCCTGACTACAACCTGTCTGGAGCAGAACAGAAACACATGGAAACAGAGGGAGAAATACTCCATTAGGCCTATAGGCATGAAGAAGACTGGAGGCAGAGATCACTCAGGTAAGCCTAACCCCTACTCTCTACCCCTAACCCCTACTCTCTACCCCTAACCCCTACTCTCTACCCTAACCCTACCTCTACCCCTACCCAACGCGCTACCCCAACACCTACGCGGACCCGAACCCCGACTCTCGTCACCCAACCCACGGCTGACCCTAACCCTACGCTCACCCATAACCCTTATCCGCTACCCCTAACCCCTATCTCGACCCAACCCCTACTCTCTACCCCTAACCCTACTCTCTACCCTAACCCTACCTCTACCCTAACCCCTATCTCTACCCTAACCCCTTATCTCTACCCCTAACCCCTACTCTCTACCCCTACCTACTCCTACCCCTAACATCTCTACTCCCTAACCCTATCTCTACCCCTAACCCTACTCTCTACCCCTAACCCTTCTCTACCCTTACACTCACCTAACACTTACCCATTATCTCTACCATAGTACACCATCCAGAAACGCCTGATCCTAACACACAGTGAGACTGACTGGGACAGACTGATCCTAACACAGTGAGACTGACTGGGACAGACTGATCCTACAACAGTGAGACTGACTGGGACAGACTGATCCTAACACAGTGAGACTGCTGGGGACAGACTGATCCTACACAGTGAGACTGACTGGGACAGACTGATCCTAAACACAGTGAGACTGACTGTGACAGACTGATCCTAACACAGTGAGACTGACTGGACAGACTGATCCTAACACAGTGAGACTGACTGGGACAGACTGATCCTAAACACAGTGAGACTGACTGGGACAGACTGATCCTAACACGTGAGAACTGACTGGGACAGACTGATCCTAACACAGTGAGACTGACTGGGGACAAGACTGATCCTAAACACAGTGAGACTGACTGGGACAGACTGATCCTAACACAGTGAGACTGACTGGGACAGACTGATCCTAACACAGTGAGACTGACTGGGACAGACTGATCCTAACACAGTGAGACTGACTGGGACAGACTGATCCTAACACAGTGAGACTGACTGGGACAGACTGATCCTAACACAGTGAGACTGACTGGGACAGACTGATCCTAACACAGTGAGACTGACTGGGACAGACTGATCCTAACACAGTGAGACTGACTGGGACAGACTGATCCTAACACAGTGAGACTGACTGGGACACACTGATCCTAACACAGTGAGACTGACTGGGACAGACATATCATTGATTGAGCTATATTTCCCAACTGACCTATAGGGAGGGTTCGTACGCATGGCATTGGAGGAGGCCATAAACAGAGATACCGTTGGATTGACTTCCAACGTCTCCGCTATGAACCAGGCAGAGAGGAGCAGACCTTCGAGGAGAGGGTGGTGGAGGTCCGGTATGACCCCTGCAGGTATGAGAATTACTCTTAACCTTACCCTGTTGATGTCTCCCACCTTACCCTGTTGCTGCCCCCCCACCTTACCCTGTTGTTGGCCCCCCCACCTTACCCTGTTGCTGCCCCCCCACCTTACCCTGTTGTTGGCCCCCCACCTTACCCTGTTGTTGCCCCCCCACCTTACCCTGTTGATGTCTCCCACCTTACCCTGTTGATGTCTCCACCTTTACCCTGTTGATGTCTCCCCACCTTACCTGTTGTGCCCCCCCCCACCTTACCCTGTTGTTGCCCCCCCCCCACCTACCCTGTGATGTCCCCCCACCTTACCCTGTTGTTGCCCCCCCCACCTTACCCCTGTTGTTGCCCCCCCCCCACCTTACCTGTTGTGCCCCCCCCACCTTACCCTGTTGTTGCCCCCCCCCCCACCTTAACCCTGTTGTTTGCCCCCCCCCCCCCCACCTTACCCTGTTGATGTCTCCCACCTTACCCTGTTGTTGCCCCTCCCACCTTTACCCTGTTTGTTGCCCCCCCACACGTTACCTACCTGTTGTTGCCCCCCACCTTATCCCTGTTGTTGGCCCCCCCACCTTACCCTGTTGGTTTCCCCCCCACCATTACCCTGTTGATGGCCCACCCACCCTTACCCTGTTGTTGCCCCCCCCCACCTTGACCCTGTTGTGGTTGCCCCCCCACCTTACCTGTTGTTTGGCCCCCCACCCTTACCACTGTGTTGCCCCCTCCCACCTTACCCTGTTGTTGCCCCCCCCACCTTACCCTGTTGTTGGCCCCCCACCTTACCCTGTTGATGTCCCCCCACCTTACCCCTTTTTTGGCCCCCCCCCCTTGCCCTGTTGATGTCCCCCACCTTACCCTTGTGTTGGCCCCCCTCACCTTACCCTGTTTGTTGCCACCCCCACCTTACCCTGTTGTTGGCCCCCCCCACCTTACCCTGTTGTTGGCCCCCCCACCTTACCCTGTTGTTGGCCCCCAACCTCCCACCTTACCCTGTTGTTGGCCCCCACCTTACCCGTTGTTGCCCCCACCTTACCCTGTTGTTGCCCCCCCCACCTTACCCTGTTGTTCGCCCCCCCACCTTACCTGTTGTTGCCCCCCCCCCCACCTTACCCTGTTGTTGCCCCCCACCTTACCCTGTTGTTGCCCCCCCCACCTTACCCTGTTGTTGCCCCCCACTTACCTGTTTTGCCCACCACCTTACCCTGTTGTTGCCCCCCCCCCCCTACCTGTTGTTGCCCCCCCACCTTACCCTGTTGTTGCCCCCCCCCACCTTACCCTGTTGTTGCCCCACCCACCTTCCGTGTTGCCCCCCCCCCCCCTTACCCTGTTGTTGGCCCCCCCCCACCTTACCCTGTTGTTGCCCCCCCCCCCTTACCCTGTTGTGGCCCCCCCCACCTTACCCTGTTGTTGCCCCCCCCCACCTTACCCTGTTGTTGCCCCCTTCCCCCCCCCCCCACCTTACCCTGTTGTTGCCCCCCCCCCCACCTTACCCTGTTGTTGCCCCCCCACCTTACCCTGTTGTTGGCCCCCCCACCTTACCCTGTTGTTGCCCCCCCACCTTACCCTGTTGTTGCCCCCCCACCTTACCCTGTTGTTGCCCCCCCACCTTACCCTGTTGTTGCCCCCCCACCTTACCCTGTTGTTTGCCCCCCCACCTTACCCTGTTGATGTCCCCCCCACCTTACCCTGTTGATGGCCCCCCCACCTTACCCTGTTGTTGCCCCCCCACCTTACCCTGTTGTTGGCCCCCCCACCTTACCCTGTTGATGTCTCCCACCTTACCCTGTTGATGGCCCCCCCACCTTACCCTGTTGTTGCCCCCCCACCTTACCCTGTTGTTGCCCCTCCCACCTTACCCTGTTGTTGCCCCCCCCCACTTACCCTGTTGTTGCCCCCCCCCCCACCTTACCCTGTTGTTTGCCCCCCCCACCTTACCCTGTTGTTGCCCCCCACCTTACCCTGTTGTTGCCCCCCCCACCTTACCCTGTTGTTGCCCCCCCCCCCATTACCCTGTTGTTGCCCCTCCCACCTTACCCTGTTGTTGCCCCCCCCACCTTACCCTGTTGTTGGCCCCCCCCACCTTACCCTGTTGCCCCCCCCACCTTACCCTGTTGTTGGCCCCCCCCCCCACCTTACCCTGTTGTTGCCCCCCCCCACCTTACCCTGTTGTTGCCCCTCCCCACCTTACCCTGTTGTTGGCCCCCCCACCTTACCCTGTTGTTGGGCCCCCCCACCTTACCCTGTTGTTGGCCCCCCCACCTTACCCTGTGTTGGCCCCCCACCTTACCCTGTTGTTGGCCCCCCACCTTACCCTGTGTTGGCCCCCCCCACCTTACCCTGTTGTTGCCCCCCCCACCCTTACCCTGTTGTTGCCCCCCCCACCTTACCCTGTTGTTGCCCCCCCCCCCCACCTTACCCTGTTGTTGGCCCCCCACCTTACCCTGTTGTTGGCCCCCCCCCTTACCCTGTTGATAAGGTGGGTGCCGGAGGAGATGGCTGCCGTTTTACGGCTCCTAACCAATTGTGTGTGTTTTTTTCGCGTTATTTGTAACTTATTTTTTACATAATGTTTCTGCCACAGTCTCTTATAACCAAAAAGAGCTTCTGGATATCAGGACAGCGATTACTCACCTCGTATAGGACGAAGATTTTTCTTTAACGAGTCTGACGCGAAGGATTTACTTCAGAAACCCGACAAGGCCCAAATCCCTGTCATTCGCATTAGAAAGAGACGGAGATATCGGGGATGTAGGTCGGGGTGCCTTGTAAGGATCCGACGGCGAGTGCGGTCTGTGTATATTTGTAAATAACAGCTGGTGCACAAAATCTAATTATAAGGAAGTCTCAAGGTATTGCTCGCCTGAGGTATCTCATGATAAGCTGTAGACCACACTATTTACCAAGAGATTTTTCATCTATTTTTCATAGCTGTCTATTTACCACCACAAACTGATGCTGGCTCAACGAGCTGTATAAGGCCATAAGCAAACAAAAAATGCTCATCCAGATGCAGCGCTCCTAGTGGCCGGGGACTTTAATGCAGGGAAACTTAAATCCGTTTTACCTAATTTCTACCAGCATGTTAAATGTGCAACCAGAGGGAAAAAAACTCTAGACCACCTTTACTCCACACACAGAGATGCATACAAAGCTCTCCCTCGCCCTCCATTTGGCAAATCTGACCATAACTCTATCCTCCTGATTCCTGCTTACAAGCTAAAACTAAAGCAGGAAGTACCAGTGACTCGCTCAATACAGAAGTGGTCAGATGATGCAGATGCTAAGCTACAGGACTGTTTTGCTAGCACAGACTGGAATATGTTCAGAGATTCTTCCGATGGCATTGAGGAGTACACCACATCAGTCACTGGCTTCATCAATAAGTGCATCGATGACGTCGTCCCCACAGTGACCGTACGTACATACCCCAACCAGAAGCCATGGATTAAAGGTAACATCCGCACTGAGCTAAAGGGTAGTAGAGCTTCCGCTTTCAAGGAGCGGGACTCTAACCCGGACGCTTATAAGAAATCCCGCTATGCCCTCCGACGAACCATCAAACAGGCAAAGCGTCAATACAGGACTAAGATCGAATCGTACTACACCGGCTCTGACGCTCGTCGGATGTGGCAGGGCTTGAAAACTATTACAGACTACAAAGGGAAGCACATCCGCGAGCTTCCCAGTGACACGAGCCTACCAGACGAGTTAAATTACTTCAATGCTCGCTTCGAGGGAAGCAACACTGAAGCATGCATGAGAGCATCAGCTGTTCAGGACGGCTGTGTGATCACGCTCTCCGTAGCCGATGTGAGTAAGACCTTTAAACAGGTCAACATTCACAAGGCTGCAGGGCCAGACAGATTACCAGGACGTGTACTCAGAGCATGCGCTGACCAACTGGCAAGTATCTTCACTGACATTTTCAACCTCTCCCTGTCTGAGTCTGTAATACCAACATGTTTCAAGCAGACCACCATAGTCCTTGTGCCCAAGAACACTAGGGTAACCTGCCTAAATGACTACCAACACGTAGCACTCACATTTGTAACCATGAAGTGCTTTGAAAGGCTGGTCATGGCTCACATCAACACCATTATACCAGAAACCTTAGACCCACTCCAATTTGCATACCGCCCCAACAGATCCACAGATAACGCAGTCTCTATTGCACTCCACACTGCCCTTTCCCACCTGGACTAAAGGAACACCTACGTGAGAATGCTATTCTTTGACTACAGCTCAGCATTCAACACCATAGTGCCCTCAAAGCTCATCACTAAGCTAAGGACCCTGGGATTAAACACCTCCCTCTGCAACTGGATCCTGGACTTCCTGACGGGCCGCCCCCCCAGGTGGTAAGGGTAGGTAACAACTCTGATCCTCAACACGGGGGCCCCTTAGGGGTGCGTGCTCAGTCCCTTCCTGTACTTCCTGTTCACCCATGACTGCATGGCCAAGCACGACTCCAACACCATCATTAAGTTTGCTGACGACAGAACAGTGGTAGGCCTGATCACCAACAATGATGAGACAGCCTATAGGGAGGAGGTCAGAGACCTGGCCATGTGGTGCCAGGATAACAACCTCTCCCTCAACGTGATCAAGACAAAGGAGATGATTGTGGACTACAGGAAAAGGAGGACTGAGCACGCCCCCATTCTCATCGACGGGGCTGTAGTGGAGCAGGTTGAGACCTTCAAGTTCCTTGGTGTCCACATCACCAACAAACTATCATGTTCCAAACACACCAAGACAGTCGTGAAGTGGGCACGACAAAGCCTATTCCCCCTTAGGAGACTGAAAAGATTTGGCATGGGTCCTCAAATCCTCAAAAAGTTATACAGCTGCACCATCGAGATCATCCTGACTGGTTGCATCACCGCCTGGTATGGCAACTGCTCGGCCTCCAACCGCAAGGCACTACAGAGGGTAGTGCGTACGGCCCAGTACATCACTGGGGCCAAGCTTCCTGCCATCCAGGACCTCTATACCAGG